TCTCCAGCCTGTCCAGGTCTCTTTGGATGACATCCCTTCCTTCTGGTGTGTCAACCGCACCACTCAGCTTGGGGTCATCCGCAGACTTGCTGAGGGTGCACTCGATCTCGCTGTCAACCATTTTCCTGGTTTTATTTGCTAAGAGGCATGGCGTCTTTCCCCAGTGGCGTCCCGTTTGTTGCCGGGGGGGTGAGGACCCTTCAGCGGCCCCCACCCGGCTCCCTCCCCACCAGCTGGGAGCGTTCATGGCAAGAGCTGAGCGCGGGTCGGGAAACGCAGCCCGACGTCTGGAACGGGTTTTGGAGCCCGCGCCCAGCTCTGTCCCCAGACCCCGTCCCCGTCCCCCAGCCAGCTCGCAAGGATCAGTCCTGCAAAAGCTGCCTCGTTAGCCGACGGCTCTAATGACAGCTCATCTCAAGGGTTGGGAGGACAAGGGGACGCAGTCACGAGCGCGGTGCCCCCCGGGTGGGCAGGCGATGCGGGAAAATGCCCCAGCAAGGTTCTGGGGACAGCAAAGAGGGAGGCAGCAGCCGGATGGGCACCCGGTGTGGGGGGCTCGGGGTGGCTTTGGGTCAACCCCCCATGAGAAGTGGGTGCTGGGAAGCAGGGGAGCGGGTCAGGGTGTGGAGCAGCACCCTTGGGGGCAGCCGAGTCCCCTGGTGTTGCGGCTCCCAGGGCTGGGTGCTCGTGGCGCTACGGCAGCAAGCGAGGGTGAGGTCTCCATTGCTTCAATATTCAACTTTAAAAAAAAAACCAAAAATCAACCCCGACAAGGCGCAGCCCCCGGACAGATGGTGGCTCTGCTGGGGGTTTTGCTGAAGTTTATTTTCTCTTGATTCGGCAATATGTGATTTCCAACGCTGATGATCATCCTTGTGCTGGTGAAGGGTCTGCCTTTGGAGGATCCCAAAACAGGCAGCGATAGGAACCGGTTGGAAGAGGGAGGTGAGGGAGGAGAGCTTGGGTTGGTTGTCCAGTTGGGGAAACTGAGGTCCTGCCCTGGGGTCACCACAACCCCACGCAGCGCTCCAGGCGTGGGGCAGAGGGGCTGGA